TTTAAATAAAAAACTTCACTATATAGAGCCACGAAGCCCAATGCTTCACATAGATCTGTTTAATGACATTTCCAACTACAAACTTTTAGCAAATTACTCTTCCTATAGAAGCCAACATCATTCAACTTTAAAACACCTTAGAAAAAAAAATTCAAGGCAACATAAAATAGGCGGTTAAACCTTCAAAATCCACAACATTATCATCTTGCTGCAATTGCCACACGACTTCAATATCATACATGACCACAACTAGGCCACATATGTTTTCACACAAAGACAAGCCTTGCAACATACAACCATTTCACAATACACACACAAATCCATTAGTAGGTCCTCCTCATGTTTCACTATTAAGGCCAACTGGATCATTCCAAAAAAAACACAGTAGATAATCATCCAACCAACACAAGGGATTTGCTTACTAGTGCAAAAATTGGATTTAAAATCGGAGTTTTAAGATCGGTTATAGGGTAATCGATCTTAAAAGTGACGCGGTGACAATTTTGTAAATAATATGAACACTTTTAAGATCGATTAAAATTTAACCGATCTTAAAAGTACTTTTAAGATTGGTTATTTTATGACCGATCTTAAAAGGTATGTCTGACACAACTTTTAAGATCGGTTACCAAAAAACCGATCTTAAAAGTTGTATCAGACATCACTTTTAAGATCGATTCTTAAATAACCGATCTTAAAAGTACTTTTAAAAGTATTACTTTTAAAATCGGTTATTTAAGAACCGATTTTAAAAGTAGCACTTTTAAAATCGGTTATCTTAGAACCGATCTTGTATGTGGTATACAAAATCGGTTCATAAATAACCGATTTTAAAAGTATTGTCAGAAACCTTTTTATATTTCCCTCCATTCGCATTCTCTTTAATCTTTTCCTCCATTCATTTTTTTACTCTCTTGCGCTCTCAATTTCTAAAGTCTCCAATAAGGTAAATTTCGTTGTAGTTTTCGTTTTTGTCTTCTCATGCTCTTCTTGCGTCTCTTTTCGTTTTCTAATGCTCTTCTTTTGTCTCTATTTTCGTTGTAGGTTCATTTTGGGCAAACTATGAAACTGGAACGGGCCGTTCTGCATAGAGAACAGGCCACTCTGCAAGGAGAACGGGTCGTTCTGGAAGGAGAACGTCCCGTTCTCCTTGTAGAACGGGCCATTCTCCAAGGAGAACGGGACGTACTGCAAGGAGAACGCCTCGTACTCGTTTTTAAAAATCTGGAACGGCCCGTTCCAGTTTAATTTTTTTTTCGCATCCCAAACTTTTAAGATCGGTTATAAAACAATCGATCTTAAAAGTTAACTTTTAAAATCGGTTATAAAACAACCGATCTTAAAAGTTAACTTTTAAAATTGGTTAAATAACCGATTTTAAAAGTCTAACTTTCAAAATCGGTTACGGAACTGATTTTAAAAGTTAAAAATAACCGATTTTAAAAGTCTTTTTTTCCACTAGTAGTCTTTCTTATTGAGCAATCTCACCTGATGGAGGCCCATGGGCCAAGGGCCCAACTACTAGGGCTATGGCCAAGAGGATGCATGAAGAATGGGCTAGTGCTCAAGAGAAGCCCATATAGTACTTTTTAGTTGGGCTTTGACTCAAGCCCATGTAGATTAGGTTTAGGCCCATTGGGCTTGTATTGTGTTTTTGGGCCTTGTATTTTGGCCAAGTAGTGTAGGAATTTCATTTCATTATAATTTGAATTTAGGTTTAAGAAGGTTGTCATGTGCATCTCAATTTACATGTAATTAGCATTACATTTAGAGAACATTTCGGCCATGTGCACTCATGCACATGGGGTTTCCGAAAACCATTCTCAAATACATGCTAAATTACATGTAAATTAAGTAGCACATGGGGTGACTGGTTTTGGCACCAAAATTTGAATTTAAACATTCAAATTTTGGCGCCTAAGGGTAGCTAAACCCTACCATGGGTTAACTTAACCTTAGGTTAAGCCTAACTTGTCCCACACACTTTCTTAGCCTATATATTTCCTTAGGTCCGTGTAAAGCATTCACTTTGCCGTATATGAGATTTTCATTCTTTGAATAAACTCTCTCACCGAAGTCACCTAGGAGAACCTCTTCTCCATTTCTCCTTGACCCTTTCTCTTTGTAGAATTAGGATTCCTACTTCGATCTATTCGAGACTCTTGGTTCAATTTAGGTTACATTGCTTCTCCATCTTTGCGTCTCATCCTTGCATCACTCTCAAGGATCCGTGGAGGAGTTTTGGTTCAAGAATCATGGAGTTTTCCTCATGAAGGCTCCATCACCACCAGAGACAAAAATTCGTTCAACCAAGACCTCCCTCACTAAACGAATCTATCAATAGGTCAATGTTCTTTAAGACAACACTTTTAGTTAAAACAAATCCCATGCAAACTATAAAAAATGATAGAGACGAAAATTCGCTCAACAAATTAAAAATGTCATCCTAAGTCAAAACTTGCTAAGCAAAATCTATTCAATGAGTGACCCAAAGGAGGCTCACCACAAAGTCTTAAATTTGCTAAACCAAGATAGGCTCATTGAGCAAATTCTACATACAAACCCATATGGTCATATATCTCACTTTGTTTATTGGTTTTTGGTTATGTTAGAATGTTGACATATGATAACATTCGTTGCAAAGTCTAAATTCAATAAGAGCAGGTGGATCTTTGCGAAGGTAATGTACAACGTAACTTTGGACAATTAATATTAATGTTAGTGGTCCACTCATCTATATTTTATTTACGGAGAACAAACTAAATGGACAACATTCGTTGTTGGTATTATATTAGGAGATTCATGAACGACATAACCAATTAATGAACTTAGTGATAATATGCATACGAATCTTTCTTCGCTATAAATAATTTATATATTACTAAATTTGAGTTTTTAAATTCATTATTAAATTTGATTTTTAACTATATTATCAACTAATTTCAATTTTCAACCATATTTTCGAATGCGATACATTTCACATAAAGTATGCCATCATATATATTACTGAGACATACTCGAAATGCCCCCACTTAAGAAATTGAGACATTATTTAACATACATTAAAAAAAAAAAAAAACTCCACGTCAATGACCATAAGCATGAGATGAACTACATTTATCATTTGAATTTGTGTAATCATTCGGAATATGACTTTCACTCCCAGCATCTGTCTTCTTTTTTAATTTTTTTTTAATAAAAGTAATCAATTCACTACTAGAAAAATGTCATTTTCCTGCAAATTTTTCTAAAAAAAAATATTTGTAAAACTTTTTTGCAATAATAATTTCACAAAATAATTTACGAATTTATTTGTGAAAAATAATTTACAAATATTTCTTATAATTTTTTTAAAAAATAATCTACAAATTATTTTTTCAAATTTTGCTACAATTTTAATGATCACAGAAATTTTTTTTATGGTAAAAATTTACAGAAAATATTGTAAGAGTTTTATTTTTTTCCTTGTAAAACTAAATTCGCAAGTAATGTTTATTAAATAGTAGAAAAATTTTACATGTAATTTTTCCTGCAGATTTTCCTGCCAATTTTAATCTGTAGGAAAAAAATATTTAAATTTATAAGTGTATAGTTAAGTGTTAGACTTATAATCTACAATCTTAGAATTTAAAAGATTATGTATCACATGTTGGAGGCGTGGAAACAAATGTTTCGGATTAATTCATTGTGAGTATTTAAAAGTTTTGGATGAATTCATTGAATATTCCTGCATAATTTCTTGTAAGAAAATTTGTAAGAAAGTTTCCTGCAAATTTTTTTTTATAAGAAATTTTATTGCGAATTTTTTCGCAGAAAAATTTCTTGCGAATTTTAAAATTTACAAAAATATATTATCCATGAAAGTACTACTTGCAGATAAAAATTTACAAAAAAATTCGTAAAAATAATATTTATTACAAATTTTAATACAAAATACACTTGAAAAGTCGCATGGAGAAATTTGATTCTCTATGTACTGTTGCCACCCATCCTTTTTGTATAATTTTTCGATATGATTTCCATTTTTCGTTTGTATTTGGGAATTAGTCGGATCTATATTCAACATTGTGATTTATAGAAGCGTGTTTCGGAATGTCTTCCAGAGAGAGAATCACATAGAAAGGAAATGTTCACATAAATATGATTTTATTCTCTACAAATAAGAAAATGTTTGTTTTAAATATTTTAAAAAAAGTTATCTCCTTTACACCTCAGATTTATAAAATGTATATTTTCAACTAAAGGATGGGAAATATTATATATAGGTTTACGTACGTAACATATTTTCATAAATTTTATAAACCCTTTTATTTGAAATACATAAAATAAATACCCCTCATTTTTCTCTACCTCTATCTATTCCTATTAAATTATATCACTTATTATATCTATATCTTTCCTCTAACTAACCAGGTGTCTAGTAGCATTTGGAATGTTGAAACATATTTTTCATTTAATTAAATTCAAATATATATCTAAATAAAATTGACTAGGAGTTTAAAATTTGATCTGTATCTATCATGCAATCACTCTTAATTTTATAACACAATCATCGATTCACATATAATATATTATTAAAAGTCCATATAATAATAACAGCTTAAGAATACTTATTTCTCAAAAAGGCAAGGAAACATAAAAATGAAGTCACAGTCTAACAGATAGTTTGCGCATTAACACTCCACTAAATTAAACTTATTTGAATTATTGTCCATAACTATAAACTGCCACTAACGGTATTCTCTCTCTGAACCCAAAATAAAAAAAAAAGAAAAAAGAAAAAATTAAAAATTAAAATGAAAATGTCATCGCGTTCCAGTATTCTTTGATGTAATGATTAAAATCCTAATCATAATTTTTTTTAATCAAAATATTACTTTATTTTCTCCCACTTGACTTTACTTCTTTCCTCATATCAGATACTTCTCTCACTCACTCATTCATTCATTCTCTCTCATCTCTCTCATCTCTCTCTCTCTCTCTCTCTCCACCATCAACTTCCTTCAGCCATCATGTACTTTCTATCTGTATATAAAAGCAAACCTACATAGCTTGCACTGTTCCCACTCTCTCTTCATCAAACACAAACCTTTTTTCTTTTCCACTTTCCACCCATGGCAGATCCTTACTCCAATTTCTTCTCACCAAGTTTCTTCCACTCCCGCTCTTCAAACCCTTCACCCCACCACCACCATCCATATCACAACAACTTCATCAACCAAGCCACCACCACCACCAACATCAACAACAACCACAACAGCTTTTTCCACTTCCACCACTTTCAAACCACTATCACATCTTCGGCTTGTTCTTGCTCTTCTTCTTCACCCCCCTCCCCTCCCCTCAGAAAAGCCCTTCCACTTTTGAGTCTCAGCCCTACAAACGAAGAAGAGGATCAGGATCAGTTTTGCACTGCCATGGATGTGGAAGAGGACTGCAACAGGACCCTACACTTCAAAGAGGAAGAGCAAGAAGAGGATAGTGTCACTGTTGCACTGCACATAGGGTTGCCAAACCCTAGTGCTGCTGAGATAGCTTCTGTGCTGTCTTCAGCTTGTTCCACTGACAAAGAACAACAACAAGGAGGAGGAGGAGATGGTGATAACAACAATAATAATAACAATAATGGAAGTGAGGATTCTTCTTCAGGGTTCTTGTCAAACAGGCTCAACAAGGGACAGTACTGGATCCCTACCCCTTCTCAGATTCTCATTGGTCCTACTCAGTTTTCTTGTCCTGTTTGTTGCAAAACCTTCAACAGATACAACAACATGCAGGTCAGTTCATACATAAGCAAGGATTTCATTATTACCGACACACATGTTATAGACCTTAGTCCCTCATTCTTCTACTTCTTGGAGAGCTTCTCTTTTAGAGAAAACTCTTTATTTTCAGTAAAGAAACGCTCACGAGCGTTTCTAACTTATAATACAAACCGACTATTAGGCATCTTCTTCCACCCTTTTCCTCCCTGGTTCATGTGAGAAAGAAAAAAAAATGAATTTGTTAATTTGGATGGTAATAAAGGAGAATATATTGTCCTTTTTTCTTCTCCTTCCATTTGTATTACTCCAAGGTCATTTTTTTTTCACTTGTACTTATACCATAATGATTAAAATTTATTTTGAGGTTTTTTGTTTTCTTGCATGGTGAAACGGGTACTAATGTGTGAAAGAATTAATATTTTCCTGGTTCAAACTGTGACTGAGATCAGATCCTATCCTTTTCGCTGATTAAACTACTCAGGCAATGTTCTTTATGCCTTTGGTGCATTGAAGTCTGTGCTTGTGTTTGGCATGCAGCTGCACATAGAACTGAAAATTTTGCAGTGTTTCTTCCAGATCTCTCAGATAATGATATTAATAAACAATAGATTTGTTCCTCTTTGTGGACCTTTTCTTTCTGAATCTAAACACCTTCCATACCTGAAAGTCTCATACACGGACATAGCTATGAGCTGTAACCTACTTCTCTCTCACCCTCCAATGGTCCTTCTTTCAGCATTAGTTGTACATTGCAATTAAAAAGAGTAGCAAATTAACAATGAAAACTTATGTCTAAGTTTCATTAAATTTACAGCTCAACTTCTCATCAAGACATTTTTTTTTATAAAAAAAATTGATTTCAGAGTCCTTGAATTAAATATTTAGTATGCATACCTCATTATACATTCAGAGAGAAATAAGTGTTGTTCCTTAAAAGTAGCTACTGAGACAGTTATTTTCTATGTCAGCTGCTGTTGATTGCCAAGTGAAATTAATAACAAAAAGAAAAATGGTACATTTACTCCAAAATCCAAATTAAATTTTAACAGGCTTTTTATCTTTTTCAATTCATTTTAAAATTTTCACGATATGTGCTTAACAACTAATACAGCTTTTCGATTATTTTTGCCTTGTATTCTCTGTCCTATTATCTTCTTTTTGGGGTATCCATAAATTTTTTTTTTATTTCTTTGTCAGATGCATATGTGGGGGCATGGATCACAGTACAGAAAAGGGCCTGAATCTCTGAGGGGTACACAACCAACAGGTATGCTTAGGCTTCCATGCTATTGTTGTTCCCCAGGTTGCAGGAACAACATTGATCACCCAAGAGCAAAGCCCCTAAAAGACTTCAGAACCCTTCAAACACACTACAAGAGGAAGCATGGGATTAAGCCCTTCATGTGCAGAAAATGTGGCAAGGCTTTTGCTGTGAGGGGGGATTGGAGAACGCATGAAAAGAACTGTGGGAAGCTTTGGTATTGCATTTGTGGCTCTGATTTCAAGCACAAGAGGTCGCTTAAAGATCATATCAAAGCTTTTGGGAGTGGCCATGCAACTTATGGGATCGATGGCTTTGAAGAAGAAGAAGAGCCTGCATCTGAAGTAGAACAAGACAATGACTTAGCCCCGTAAAAAAATAATAAGGAAAATGGAACTGGTTTAATTTTATATATGTCTCTATGTGAATTATCCTATTCTTAAATCTTGGTTAATTTGTGAACTAATTATTTGCTATGAGTACATATCCATGGCTTCCCATTTGAGAACTATATATAAGCACCAAGTTTAGATGGAGGCCAACCTATTCTTCTTCTTCTTTGTGTTTCTTTTCTTTATGTTGGAATTCACACGCTGGTTACAAAACTCAAAAGCCAAGTGTAAATCCAACTTCTTTTAATCTGTTCTCATATATGTATAAGATCTCTTTCTTTTCTACCTTGAGTTGCTTAAAGCATCGCAGACAAAGATTATTACACTATGCTGTATGCTTTTGTTAAAAGCATATATAACACAAGTTAATTGGCTAGTAGCTAGTAACCTAGCTACACTATGCAGCTTCAGTTGTATTTTAAATTGCACTTTCTTACCTTGTATGAAAAATTCATTTGTTTTAGTGTCCAATGCAATTTAGCTGATTGCATCACTGTCGGTTCATTGTGCTGAGCTATCAACAGCTATATATATGCATTAAGAATATGAGTTATTTAACTGAATAAGTTTTGGTAGACTCCTGAAATAAATGGATTCTTCTTCATATATATATATATATATATATATATATATTAGTATCAAAGAGAGAAAAATTGTGTCTCGTAAGTTGGTGTATGTATGTACAAAGTGCACTGTTGCCTTCTACGTTTGTATCAATATGTAATTAACATGTACGTTGAAGTTGAACTATGTTATGTTCTTACACTATTGTAAGCATATACTTGAGAAAGGAGCGATATATGTTGCATTCTTGCTTGTCAAAATCAACAGGAATAAGGGTCAAAATGAAGAAAAGCCTCTTTTCTCAAATCCAGAGGCTGTAGGCCTCATCAAAGTTCAAACTTTGATGAACAATGATGAATGTGCATGGACCAAAAATACCTGTGGGGCATTTCTTGGCATTGACAACTTGCTTTCTTCTCAAGATCCTCTTGGTACGTTTTCTCCAATTAATCCACAATTTTACATATACAGTCAAGTTTACTTATCTTATGATAACAAGGTTGAGAATTGAAGCTCTACTTCCCACAATGCACACAAAAAAGTGACAATTCAGGCTCACGTTTTTCAAATTTCTACACATTCATTGTTTTCGGTCAGTTAATTACTAACTTGTGAATATTGTTTTTGATATTCAACAACGCAAGTTTAGTGAAAGCGATTTAATGACATAATAAACTACGTGCCATCATTTATTTGACAAAAAATACATATAACAAGTTTGTGGTGCATATCGTACTTATGATTGTAGGTCATTGGATATTATAGCCTTTCTCACCCCGTGAAACTGAACCTACGTCAGCTTTTTGTTGGGGGGTGCATATATACATATATGATGATGATGATGCCCTTTTGCTTTGCATAGTGGGAAGGGAGCCAATGTGTTTGTTGATAGATAGAACATCTACGAATTCGAGATTCAGCCTTGGTTGGAAAACCCAAAGCAAATGATTAGCTTTTGAAGGAAATTAAATACGATTAAATAAAATTTAGAATTTGAGTTTTGTTAATAGAAAAGGTATAATTAAGAGGAGAATTAAAAAAATAATCAATTAAGTTCTAATCTTTTGGTGAAGTGGTAGAATATTTCGTATCAATAAAATCATTTTATGAAAAGATATAAAAGGAGGATATGAAAAGATTATGGGTATATGAGGGTATGCTATTATGCTATGCAATGAAGTGGATCTCATTTGCAGGTTGGCTTAGAGAGAGAGAGAGAGAAGATGGGTAAAAGTATAGAAAGAGGTGAAAAGTGTAAGAGTGTGTGGAGCCCAAGTTATGTTGGTTGGGCTGATTGGCAACATGTACAGATATCTCCTACAGTACATGCACCCTTTCCCCCTCTCTTCCTTCTCAGGGATAAACTGTACACTGAATCGACCATTCAGAAAATTTAAATTTCATATCTCATCTCTCTCCTTATCACTTCTCTCTAAATTAACCCCTTCAATTCATATGCTATATAGGGTGGCTATATATAAACTTTGCAGGGTTTAAATTATAGTGTAAGAGTACCAATTGTAACCACATTAACAGCACAATTCGCAATTTTCTACAATATCAAAGATTATGCTGTAAGTGAAATTATGACCAAACTGCAATTAAAACCATTGCCAATAGAAGATAACAAAATAAAATATCTTATTCATAAAAGTAACACTATTTTCTTAATACATGGGAATATATATAATTGATGAATTATGATTGATGGAGCATGTCGATTAGTATGAAGTTATTTTTAATTTGATTAATAGATTCGAGTTTGAAATTTGAATATATAATTATATTTAGAATAAAAGAGTGCTTGTGAAACATTCTCTAAAACATTTCTCTTAATTAATACATTATTTATTATTGGTGAAAATTTATTAAAAATTATAAAATAAGAAAAAAAAAGTTATTAAATAGAAGGTGTGAGACCTACCAATATTTATATATATTTTTAATATTTTTTAATTAATTAAAAAAAAGTATGTTAAAAAGTGTTGTTATTACATTTGTCATACACAAAAGAATTTGTCTTTTATAATATAATCTTACTTCAATTCAACTAGAATTATCTCACGCAATAATATATATATATATATATATATATATATATATAA